AAGTAATCTAACACTAGGGCTGCATCTGCCACAGTCCAGCCCTCAGAAGCTCACACTGCTGGGAACGGCAGTCATTTGAAATGAGGGGATCCTATTTGCAAGATCTGCCTCTGGGTGACTCTGGTTCCCTCAGACTCCCACTCTCCATCAAAGCCATGGTTGGCCAGGCGGTGGTGGAGCATGCACTTAATCCCAGCACCAGGGACACAGAGGCAGATCTCTGTGAATTCGAGGCCAGTCTGGTCTACAAGATCTAGTTCCCAGACATTCTTCAAAGTTACAGAGAAATGCTGTCTCAAAAAATAAAACAAACAAAAAAGCCTTGGCGGCTGCAAGCACCAACCAAAGGGGGGGGGGGGGGGGTAAAATAAAAAAAAAAAAAAAAAAAAAAAAAAAAGATGTCCATCTCAGTAGAAACATAAAGTACCTCCTTCTGACTGTTTCCTGACTTGCCAGACCTTCAAGACCAAAGCCCACTTGAAAATGTCATTCCTTCAGACCAAGGGCTTTGGGATCGTAGGAACCCACTCTGCTGCTGCTCACGAGTTGTGTGGCCCTGGGAAGATTAGTTCACATCTTGGAGTCACTGGTTGGCTCATCTATAAAATCAATTACCTTGAAGGGATGTTGTGACAACTAAATGCGCTAAGCACCTGGCAGAGCCTAGCACTTAGCAATCGGTAAACAAGGCAGAGCTTTTAAAAGGAATCATTTCTCACTGCAGCCTTCCGCAAGCACAGCTTTGGGTTAATATAATTTTTGTATCCTCTTTGCATGTACAAGAGATGTCATATCTCACCAAGGCATAACAAGCGTATGCCCTCTTGTTTCCCAAACTTCATCTCTGGTGAGCAATACTGTGTATAAGAATATTCTGCCAACAGCATCAAATGAGTTAGTGAAATGAGGGGATGCATTAGAATTTGTTTTGATGCCAATACACTCCCTAGAGTCTTCAAACCATCAAGAACGCGTTCCTAGGCAAATATCTCCTTATTCACAAACAAAACTGGAGCAGAATTTGATCTTAAACCGGATCCCAGCCAAGTATGGTAGCTCTTGCCAACAATTCTACTACTCAGACATCTGAAGCTAGGGAATCACAGTGAGTTAAAGGCTAGCCTGGGCAACATAGAAAGTGCAGCAGATATGTGATTGCAGAGAAAAAAAAGCCTGCCTCAAAACAAAACAAAACCAAAAAACTGAGGGCAGGAGAGATGACTCAGTGGTTAAGGGCGTGTACTGCTCTTCCAGAAGACCCTTGTGTGAGTCCCAGCACCCACATCAGACAGCACATAACTGCCAGTAACTTAAACTCCTGAGGGATTCCCATACCTCTGGAATCTTTGGGCACCTGCATACACATGCACATACTTACCCCCCTACACACACAGACACACAAATAAACACACAATTTTAATAAAATGAAACCGACAAAAAGAAGCTGGTTTAAAAATAACTGAGCAAAATATGGAGCATAACCACCTCATCAGTCAGTTCTCTGCACATGATTTCCAGGCTCTGCTTCCCAATAACCATTTACAGCATCACAGCATAGGTAAGGCTGTAGATTCCATTGCTTTCCTGTAATATTACACTGTAGGGATGCTTCATGTTGTTACAAGCTAAACATATTTATCACTTTATTTAAGATTGTCTACAAGTATTTTGCCTGCATGTGTGTTTATGCCCCATGTGTAAGCTAATGATAACTTTAAAAGATTACACTAGGACTGGGGAGATAGCTCAGTCAGTACAAAGCTTGCCTGTTATGCAAACATAAGGATCCAAGTCTGACCCCCAGGACCCATTTAAAGCAGCCATGGGTGGCAGTGTAAGCCTGTAATCCTACACTAGGGAGGTAAAGACAGGAGAATTCCTGGCATTTGCTGGCTAAATCCCTAATTGCCAGGTTTGGAGGGAGACTTTTGTCTCAAAATGTAGGTGGAAAGAAGTGGAAAAAGACATTCAATGACAACCTCTGACCTTTATATACGCTTATACACATGAACACATACTGATACACATAAACATGTGTGTCCACACACACACACAGAGACAGTATAAAGATTCAGTGACATCAGTGAGTTTCTATTACTCAGCAGTACTCTACTGAGCATTCATGGCTTCAGTGTGCTGTGGCTTCACAATCTGAAAGGTAAGGTCTAAACTCAAACCAGGCTCACAGGCAAGTCATTTCATCTTTGCAACCGCTGCTTCCTCATTTGTGAAATAGCCTCAAAACAAACTTGGGCCAAAGAGTCAGAGACGGCAAATGTAAAATATAATTTCCCTTGTTCCCAATTTTTCACAATTATACACAATGTGGCAAGAAATAGCTTCGTGAATAGGGACTTTGCTTTTCTTTCCCTTCCAGTGGGTTGGTTGTTTAGGATAAATTTCTCCAAAATGGATTATTGGGCTCAAGAGAAATTTTAATTTTATAACCATCAAAATCTCTTTCCAAATGGCCTTCACAAAGATTGTAGAAATTTAGACTGCCCAGCCAACCATCTGGCCAGGTTTTTGGAGGGCACGGCCAGGACATGCAGGAGTATGGGAACTCAGAAGGCTCAACCTAAGCCATGCCACTCCACAAATCTCTGTGCCCAACAATTAGCAGTCAAAAGACAAAGTTGACTCCTGGATACTGTGAAGACCCCATGTCATACAGGTAAGTCCACAGAGAGTGGCTGAGTCCTCGTCCTGCATGCCCTAGGCTTGGCTGCTTCCACTTGTCTGGATTCCAGCAGGTTCTTCTTCTGCCTTGTTCAAAATCTTCCCACTCTTAGCCTCACCTCGGTTTCCTTTCTGCTCTTTTTCCTGTCACTCTGGTTCTACATGTCCCATCCTCATTACAATCTGTCTCCCTCTAGCTGTACTATTTCCATTCATTTTATTAACAACTACCATAGAGAAACCATTAGTTGAAGACCTAAATGCCAGGCACTGTGTTCACAAGTTTATTAGATAAATATTAAGTTTCCCATTTTACAGAAGAAGTAATCAAAGTTTAGTGGTTCAGTATGTCATGCAGCTACTCATTCAATCAACATATGCCTGCCAAAAGTCTACTATTTTATTTGGTTCAATGTTGAGTACAAGACAGAAAAGTGATACATGTTAGCAAATATACAAAGACAGGGTGCTGAGGGATTGCTAGGAGACAAAACACAGAACTGAGACACAGCATTAGCGATAACCTTTCTAACCAATTCAAATTAAAATTTAGACATGAAGGTCCAGACAACCAAGGAAAGGGAAACACTGGATGCCAGGCCAGGGTGGAGCAGCTGTGAAGGCCCTGACACAGGAAGAAGCTGGGTGTGGTGGTAAAAAGCAGTCTGTGGGATGGAGCACTGTGTGACACAGAGACAAGAACATGCTGAACACCAAGAAACAAGGAACTGACCATCACATTGGGCAGGGCCTTGAGGGCCACGGCAAGAACTTAGAAACTTTATTCCACAGTCAAGGAAACACAAAAGAACCAGCAGAAAATCGAAACTGGCATGCTGAACTTAAGGCAGTGGATAGCAACCCTCACCTTATGGCAGACTTCAGCAGTCTGGACATCATGCTAGGTTCTTCCTATACTAAGGCTCAAAAACTGCTACACAACCCTGAAATACCTCACTAGCTTCACTTTCCCAGGACATTCTGGAAGTCACTCATATGGGACCACTAGTCAGTAGTCATCAAATGAGACATAAAACCGAAGTTTTGTCACCTTAAAATCCATGCTGGTCACACAGATTTTAAGCTGTCAGGCTACAAACATGGGGTGAAAGACAAGGGGGCTGCTCCCCAGTGACAAACGACCTGCAGCACATGTATTACGGAGCAAATTTTAAGATAGGAACCCTGCCAATCAGATTAGCCACTCAAATCTGACCAACTGCGTCAGCTGGGGCCAAGCTTTTCAACAAGTAGGAATAGGGGTTTTGACCAAAGAACGCTGGTACTTCAAGTAGATCAGGTTGGGACAAGAGGTAAAGCAACTTTCAACCTCACCTACCCAGGTTTCTCAGAAATTTTTAGAGAACACATCAGTGGAAGTCGGGCCTACTCTGGGGTCTATTGTTGGCTGCATGTGATTCTGATTTAAAGCTTGGGCCATCCAGAACTCCCATTTCCAGTCATTCATCCCCCCCAGGAAAAATTACACAAATATAAAAAGACAATACGCACAAGGATACTTTTACTGTCTCATATGTAACTATGGTGAATGAGAAACCGGAAGGCCTTATCAGAGACAATTATGGTTTATCACACCCAGTGGAATACAGGTCCCTCTCTGATGCTTCCATGACAACTGAAACAGAAACTACTCCTGCCACTCTCTGCCAAAACCTAGAGTTGAACTATTCTATACAGACCAGACGTAGGGTCTTCCTCACTCATCCATAATCTTTTTTTTCTTTTTCTTTTTTTTTTTTTTTCAGTTTTCTAGACAGGGTTTCTCTGTAGCTTTGGGGCCTGTTATGGAACTAGCTCTTGTAGACCATGCTGGCCACAAGCTCACAGAAATTCACCTGCTTCTGCCTCCCAAGTACTGGGATTAAAAGTGGACCCTACCACCCCCAGGCATATTATTTTTTTTTAAAGGGACAATATGTCTAGTCCAGGTCCCAGAAGACAAGCACAGGCCTTCACAAAATGCTGACTTCACCAGGTCCTGTTTGATCCAAAAACCCTGGTACTCAACACCTAGGAAGACAAAGTCAGGCTTTCAGTGAAATAAAGTTCTTTGCTGACTTCTTCCCTAAAGCCTTCCGTGTGGACAGCTGACTTTATCATCAGTCAACACAGACAGCACATGACCAGGTACCAGTTTCAATACACACAGGTAGGAACCTGGTTTTCTCATCAGTGTTTCTACAACACTGTGAAACCACCAGGAAGACCTTGTGTCA